TAGATGTTGTGCTGAAAGCTGGCAACGGATAAAGCAAGAACATAAAAGAAGTCTATTCCCAAAGCAAATATTGCTTTTGCAAACCTTAAGAATGAAGTGGCTTTCACAATCAATTTTAAGATCGAAGGAGTGGACTGAAGTGCCAAGCTCTGGCACTTATTAGCTACATAATTTGAGGCAATTAATTTACTACTGTGAGCTTGACTTCTCAATTGAAAAATGGGAATAAAACCTGAGTTCTTCTGAGGACTCAAATGAGATAATCAAGGCGCTTTGTAAACTCTAATACTGCAAAGTACACTTTCCCTCTTTTATGAATTACTCACTTTGAATAGTTCTTTAAAAGTGGCTGCCCTAAAGTAAAACAAAATTAAACCAGATTCAGCTAAGTTACTGCAGAGGAGTGGGCCTCCAGAGAACTCTTTCATCTCAAACTACTAACCTCATCAGATATCCTAAGAACTAAGTGAAAATTACACACATTATAAAGGATTTGTTCCCATTTTATAGTACCACATCCCATATTGGGCTTCAACTGGATAATTTAAAAAGGATGAGAGTAAATGTGTAAAAAGCCAAGATTCCTCTAATTAGACACATTAAATCTTGAATGTATATTCTTAGACTTTACAACTGTTTAGATATGATACAGAATTTATTTATTTTGGTACTGGGGATGGAATTCAGGAGTGCTTAACTACTGAGACACATCCCCAGCCCCACTTTTTTAAAAATTTGAGATAGGGTCTAGGACCTTGCTAAACTGCTGAGGCTGGCTTTGAACTCATGATCCTCCTACCTCAGCATCCTAAGTTGCTGTGATTATAGGTGTGTTGCCATGCCCAGCAGAACTTACATAGAAAAAAAAAAACAAAAACAAAATGCACAAGGCTTTCCTGAATACTGTTATTGTTCTTTCCTTTAATTTTGGTAAATCTGATTTACTAAGGTCTATCTAATTTGTGTATGTAATAAAAGTACAACCGGCTGGACATGATGATGTATACCTGCAATCCCAGTAACTCAGGAAGCTGTTGACAGGAGGATTGCAAGTTTGAGGTCAGCCTGGGCAATTTAGTGTGACCTTGGCTCAACATGAAAAAAAAAAAAGGGTTGAGATTGCAGCTCAGGGATTGTGCCTAGTAACCTAGCATGTGTGAGGTTCTGGGTTCAATTCCCAGTAGTGCCAAAACAAATAAATAAATAAATAAAAAGTGCAGAGTGTAGTCCCAGGGGCCAACTCCCAACTTTAGGCTATAAATTCTGAGTCAGATGTAACTGGTATTGAAAGCAGCTAGCTGAGAAGTCAGGCATACAGTAAGCATTCAACTAATATTTGTGGAATAAACACTCCCAGGTACCTCTTTCCAAATACCTTGCAAGAACAATCTTTTTCATCTGTGATCCTAACACTCACTCAAATTGCCATCAAGGATCAATTTTTGAAAATTAGGACTTTTAAGCTTTCATTAAATGTCCAAACTAGAGAAAGTGTGTGTGTGTGTGTGTGTGTGTGTGTGTATGTATGTATATATATTATAGACAGACACAAATAATGGGTACCTTAAAAGCTTAATCAATCCTTGTTATTTGAATGCTTTGGGATATATGATTGTAATGGATGAAACACGGGCCATATTTTGCAGCTCCTCCTAACAAGGGGAATCTACTCCTTGTCCCTTGAATATAGGCTGGCCAAGTGATTTGCTTTAAGAATGTGGTAAAGGGGCTGAAATTGTGGCTCAGCGGTAGAGCACTTGCCTGGCATGTGTGAGGCACTGGGTTTGATCCTCAGCACCACATAAAAAATAAATAAATAAAATAAAGGTATTATGTCCACCTACAACTAAAAATATATTAAAAAAAAAGAGTGTGTGAAGTGATGTGCCATGATTTCTTAAGTCATTTATTTCATGGTACTCTAGGATCATCAATCCATAAGCCCAAGAAAAAAGGTCACATGAAGTCATCCCACCCCAGACTCAGCCAACCTGCTGGTAGAATGCAGAGAGCCCTGATGAGACAAGCAAAAGAACCAAGCAACCCACAAAATTGAGAGAAATGATGAACTGTTTCTTTAAGCCATTAAGTTTGGGTATGCTGGTAAGCAGCAAAAGGTCACTGATGACAAACTACCTAATCCTCACAGCACAACCTTAAGGTAGGTTTTCTATCTAAAACAAAGCAGGGTTAAAATTATTTAGAGGTCACAACATTCTCAGGAGGCCCTAAGAACTAGATGCAGGCACTGACAGGTCAGTTTTGTGTCTCCTTCACTGTCATCCTGCCGTCATGAACTTGATCAGTTCTTTCTGCCAAGGACAGCAGCATCTCATCTCTTAGCACTCTGGCTATAATAATAAGTCTTATCTTTTTATAAGCTACATGGGYAATGTGTCCTGACTGGATAAATTCACTGGGCTTGCCCATGACAGGAAATGCATTTTGGGTTATAATTCAGACTCAGCACTCCAGCAAATGCACCCATTCTGCTTTCTGAAGCTCAAATAACTTATCCCAACACAAAACAGTCCAGTGGCAGCTCTGCAATTAAATTCATCCATTTACATTTTATCTAGCAATAACACAAACCCTGCTAAAATAGGGATGAGGATGAGGCTCAGCAGTAGAGTGCTTAACTAGCAAACATGAAGCCCTAAATTCAATCCCCAACACTACAAAAGAACAACAACAAAAAACAACAGCAACCAACCCCCCCCCCCAAAAAAAAAACAGTCAGGCAAATCATACGGTAAGTAATTTCTCAATTTAAATCAACATCTTTTTTTATACCCTAAGTAGAAAACACACATACCAAGACAACAACCCCACAAAACACTTCATTTTTTAAAAAATTATACACGAACATATCTTTATTTATTTATTTTTATGTGGTACTGAGGATTGAACCCAGTGCTTCAAATGTGTGAGGAAAGCGCTCTGCCACTGAGCCACAACCCCAGCCCCTTCATTTTGAAATTATGAAAATCATGAAGCTGGTTATCAAATATAGTTTAAAATAATTTACCATAAGAATGTTTTGGACCCAAAAAATAATGTACCTGAACTTTAAACAAAATTCACATTTTATTTAGATTGAAATAAACTATACAAAATTGATTTTCTTCACCAAAAATAACAGCAATATTTTCTGTATTATTTCTAGATAAACCGCGAAAYATTTATTTTGTAGGTTTTCCAGGTTTTGCTTATAAATCAAGACGAGGCAGTAGATATAGTCATGGAAAAAGAAAACAGACAAGTTGCCCATATCCACAGCCTCTGATTCTGTCTTGACCGTGAAGCAGAAGTGTTCACCATTTACCCGCTAAAATGAAGGTGTAGGCTTATGAAGACRTAGGCTCAACAAAGGAATGTAAACAGCAACAACCAGATGTGGAACAACTACGGCAAGCTCTTCCACTCAAATTTTAACTGTAACTTGTTCTTTAAGTTCTTTTGATAAAGACAAAATCTATACTGAAATCTGTTTGGTGAGCTCACAACTCTGGTTAATTCCCTTAATTGTCCATTACAGATTTTAACACACTTAAAACTCCTAATAGTCAAAGGTCAACAGTAGGCTTCATTGTAACATTTCATAAGATGCATTCTTTTCTTATACCTCCTCAAAATTTATTTCTTCAAAATTGTTAATAATACCTGACAACTGGATCCATGGTAATAATACATTTTATAACCTAAAAGASTTAACTAAAACAATTTCAGAGTGYTACTAGCAGAGGTCACRCAGAGGTGAAATGTGGTACTTCCAATGCARTCTTCTGGAARAACAGACAATTTTTCAAAGCACGAGAGCTCAAACAGGTGCCATGTACATAGGCAGATTACCAATGGCTAATGTATTCATGAGGCCTGTAGGCAAAGATATTCAGTGATAAGTGACCTACATATACCTTACGGCTTTTCTTCCAAATATCAAATATAAGAGAAAGCCCATTTAAAAAGTCTTTTAGGTATTTTCAACAGTTTCTGAATTATCTGTAGGAAGCTCTGACTTAGTTGTATATAGTTTGATATATGTGTCTACATTAAATCCAGATCATGTTTTATATCAAAATTTATGTTAAGCAAAGCCAAGTTACTTGACCTTTGGTCTGTCAAAGTGTTCCTCAAGTATGCTTTAAGACGCTTTCGTCCATTTTCATAGCGTTCATTCTCAACCTTCATTACAGGAAGAATACACAGGACCTTCAGCAAAGCATATACATTAGGAAAAAACTTGATATCAGGCAAATGAAGGGCTTCATAAATGGTGGATAGAAACTCTATATCTTTCCCTCGATGTTTCCATTTGATTCTCCAACAGTGTAGCTCAGCTGAAAGCGTATTGGGATTAGGCAAGTCACTTCTGTACATGTCAGCATGGTGCTCCTCTGATGTATTAAATTTGAGCTGTCCCATGACTGACGGTACAAGAGATAAGCATTTAAGAGCTTTGAGGTGCTGTTCTGAAAATATATCTTTAAGTTCCTGAATGATGTGTTCCACTGTTGGAACACTTAGGGTTTCTTTATAGTAACTTTCAGAGGTTAGCTGAGATTCCAGGTTACCCTGCTGAGCCCTACGAAATTTCCCAGGAAGTTTCATCTGAATATCAAGTTTGGTTGCCAAATTTGTTGCTTCCTCAAACCAAAACTCATGATAAACTTCAATATTTTCCATTACTTCATTGAGTGAATGTAGTACTGCAGTTAAGCTACTGGCAGCAAAGAAGACATCAGAAGTTTGTCCCTGGAGATTTTTCCCAAAGGCTCTTGTAAAAGATAAGACATTTTTAAGAACAACAATGGTAACAATGAAATCAAAATCTGTTACTGCACTACAGAGTACAAATTCTCGACCAGTTATACAATTATTCCATCTAATATTTGTGTCACTATTTATACYATCTAAACATAAAACAAGTGCTTGCAGGAGATCCACCAAAATTTCAAAAGCATCATGCCTGCCTGTCCACTGAGAATGGCAAATTTCCTTCAGTTCTTTACCYCTTTCTTCACTGTTCTGAAAAAGAACAGAAATTACATTGTCAAGTTCTAATAGCAGTTGTGGTGATCGATGGAAAAAAGAACAAACTTCTTCAATTGTTCCTAATGCAACAGACACCCCCATCACAGGCACTGATTTTGCCAACCACATGTTTAAGGCACAGGAAGAGCAGAGTGTGTAGAYAGCTTGAGGGTATTTCTCTAAAAGTCTAGAAGCAACAACTTTCATTTTGGAAGAGAATCCGCTAGACACAATGTAAGCCTGGCCATGACAATACTCCATATTTAGTCCCCACTTCTCAGTTATGGTAGTGTGAAATTTCACAGCCAAAATTTCATAAGGCAGGAAGCCCACAAATTCCTCTCTCAAGTTATGAGACTCATCTACAAACCTCACCAAMACGGGAAGGTGCTCTTCCCCTGCTATGTCCACCACATCATCAGTGATAATGGAAAAGAAGTGTGAGTCTCTCACTTCCCTGAGGGTTTCTTCCYGGATGCAACTCTCACAGATCTCCAGCATCTGTTTCTGTTGTGTTTTTGAACAGAACAATGTGTTAACTGCTGTGGTCTCAAAGCGTTTTCTCAGRACCTCTTCACCAGAATTTATCCGGCACTCCAACAGGGCCTGAAAATTATCAGAAGTGAAGAGACCTTCTGGGATTTCATCAGCCTCATGCCCGTCCAGAGGTATATTTTGTTTTCCCATAAGAATCAAAATTTCAAATAAAGATTTTAAGTACTCTTTGTTTTCCTTCTCTTCAAGGGTTAAAGGCAAAGTATCTTCATCCTGTTCATCACCSCCTTCTTCTGCACTGGGGTTCTGAGCATTGCTATTGTTTGTTTCTTTATGTTTTTGTTCCTGTTCAGAAGTTTCATCAACTGGAAAACAGAGAGTTAATTTTATAATCCCATAAGAAATCACACAATACAAAGTACATTTTTGGATTGGCTAATATTTTAAAACCATAAATTCATTCATCCAACATTCACAGCATCTATCTACTAGACCACAGAGGAAGACAGAATAAAACAAAGACAATAGAAGGAGAAACACTGGGAACAGATTTTAATTATACGTGTAAATAAAGTTGGAATGATTTTTAATTAACATATATATTATACAGAACAGTGACAGTCCATGCCTTCTGAAGTAAAAGTAAATATTTATGGAGGACACTGTGTTTAGCATTTTGTGTGCATCACATTAATCTTTATTCAGGCAGATGGTATCAACCCCACTTGACAATAAATTACTTGCCCAAGGCCACAAATGCATTTATAAGGATAAAAGTGAAATTCAAATTCAAGCTTGTCTGGCTCCAAGGTCCATACAGATGCTGTTTCTACCAAACCATTAAGCCACACTTTTATATGAGAGATGAGACAGTTATACAAACCAATCCAATATAGATTCATGTAACTGTTAGGGCTAATATTAGAAATCTTCACCTAATCTCATATTTGGATGAGAAAAGTGAGGCCCTATAGGTTAAGAGTCCTGCCAACAGTCATACTAGTCAGTGGCAGCCCTAGGAAAATAATCCATATCTGAAGAATCATCGAACCTAGCTCTTATATAAGACTATGAGAGGGCCACCAAAAACTATACATTTTCACTGGGGGAAGGGAAAAAAGTTCAGAAGAGAGAAGTTGCATTTGATTCTGACCCAGATAAGAAGACATGAGGGCACTTCAGTTGGTAGAAAGTATTCCAGCAACAGCACCAAGATAAAACAGAGAAGCGGGCTACCCAAATACAAAGAGAAATCTGGTGTGATTAGAGGCTGGGTAAGCTGTGCTTCCAGGCCTGCCAGAGCAACACCAGGGTTGAGCAAGGGCAGGGATTACTCTTTCCTCACCCCTCCTCAGCTCAGAGGCCATCTATTCATCATACACTACAAAGCAAACAGTGTTTTCAACACTATGCAGGTTTTTGCCATCCAGAAAGCAAGGTTATCCTGGATGCCTGCCTGACAGCCTGTCTCCGTTCCTCCTTCCTATATTCCTTCTGACCTCCATTACTTCTCTACTCTCAATCAACAAGTATTAATTCTATTGTTTTATTTTTTTTAAAGGGATGTTCATTAAGGAGCAAAAACATAAGGTGAAAAGCTAGTCACTCTCCTTTGGACATCTTTCGTAAGTAAGTCATCTGTTTACAAGTTCCCTGAGTCCTGAGTCCTGGCTTCCCTGCCAACAGTGTTACTCTTCCTACTTCCAACAGTGTTCCACATAACATGAAATGAGGTTCATGCCATCACCTTCTTACAAATTCCTCAATGGTTCCCACTGCCACACCCTACAAATTCTGGCCTCTATGGTCTCCTCTGGGTTCATTTTCTAAGTATCATGGTTTACCAGAAATTCTAATACCACCAAAGTGAGGGCTCTTTCCCAAATCTAGCACCCTATTTCATGCTACTCTACTTTTGTATAGAATCTTTCCCTTTTTTCTTTGCTTGAGTCCATGTCTCCTTATCTATAAAGGAAGAATTAAAATATTACTTAACACAGAGCTCTGTGATAATTAAATGAATTAATATTAAGTACTTAAAATGATGATTTGACCTCAATAATAGTTTATGTTAATTGTAGCAACAGGAGAGAGACGAAGAAGATAATAGTAATAACAGGAACAAAAACAACTTTTAGCTGCCATTCTTTGGCAAAAGCTTAGGCATCAGCACCTGCCACTACATCCAACACACCAAGTGCCCCCCATAGCATTTATTTCTTAAATGTTTACCAAAAACCTATTATGCACAAGTTGGGTAGACATAAATGTCTGCCCTTCCTTCCCTGCCCTGGGATACTGTCTGTGTTCCTGACACCCGAACCACATAGAAAGCAACACATTTTCAAGGCCAGCACAGGGCAAAGTGTGTGGCTTGGCAGAACTCAACAAAGACAAACTAAAGTAAGACTTTATAATTTCAGACCACAGGACAAAGCTGACACACTCTTACATCCATTCTCAAATAGGTTGTGGACATAAAACATATTTATTTGTTCTTACCAGATCAAGGCCTTTTAAAAAGGCATTCAGAAGCTGAGTCATTAACACTATCACTTACTTTTTTTCTGTTTCAGTGTCCTGATTTCATCTTCACTCTAAATAACAAAAAAAGAAAGAAAAAATGAACAAAAGAAAGAAAAAAAACCATGTTTTAGAAAATTGACCTCTAGTGTATCATCTTAAACTCAAATAAAAACCTATTTTGAATTGTTTTACTCTTTCAAGAGCATAATTTATATTAAATATGTTCTTCAAACAGATGATAAGAAATCCAGAATAATAATTATTTGCTAATTACTCCAAGCTTATAATAAAGTCCTAGAGGGGAAAAATATATCACTTATTTTCTCCCTAAAAACCCTAACTTTAGGTTATAAGTGTTTACTAAATAATAAAGGGAATGAAAAGTATACCAAGGCACTTGAAATCAAATTCAAGAGGAAGTAAATTATCTCCCTTCCCAATCTAACCTTGGAGATGCCTCCTAAGAGGGAGGCTGCTGAATTGTAGAAATAACAAAAATGATGAGGATTCCCTGGGATGTAGAATTAACAGAGTGCCAGCATGGAGAAGAAATGAATGCATATAGCATAGTTTATGCACTATGACCCCTACACAGGATTAGATGGAGGAGGAACTTTCCAGCTGAGTCCTTTACTCTCCCTCCAAACCTCAGTGATAATCAGATCACAACCCACCCATTACTTTTGTGGAAGGAAAGTACCAGTGCCAGTTATAGCTGGGACCACACAGTACCCACTGAACAGCTCTGGACATTCTGCTGATAAGAATGTCTCCAGGCAGGTCAACCTGCAACACTCCCTCCTTAACTGGTGGGCTGCCCAGTTACAAGGCTGGAAGACCTGGAAGTGTGCCTGCTATGAAGTATTTGATGTTTCCTAAGAGGGAGAGTTACAGGGGCATGACAGCTACTGGACAGGAAGTGATTGAGCTCCTCACCCCTGGTACAAATTACTAAGAAGAAAAGGCCCTTTGAAAATACTCATTAAAATAATATGTCAGCATTTATGTATAAGAAGTTTCATAAAAATAGAAATAACAGAGGAAAGAAGTGCATGAAGAAATTAAAACTGAGAATTTCCCAGAATTTAAAAGATATAAGTCCCAGGGTGGGGAAGCAGCTTAGTGGCAGAGTGTTTATCAGGCATGCATGAGGCCCCAGTTTAATCCATAGTTCCACAAAAAAATAAATACGTAAAGAAATTGTAAATAAAGACATAAGACTTCAGAAAATGGTCAATATGCTGGATAAGAAAAAAATTCACACACACACACACACACACACACACATATATATATATAGTTCAATGAAATTTTAAATGTCAAATATAAAAAAAATTATAAAAGTTTTGAGAGAGAAAAGGTAGATCACCCAAAAAGAATAGAAATAAAGCTGGTGTCAGATTTCAACAGCAAGAATGAAGGCAAAAAACTAGGGAGAGGGCTGGGGTTGTGGTTCAGTGGTAGACCACTTGCCTAGCATGTGAGAGGCACTGAATTGGATCCTCAGCACCACATATAAATAAATTAATTAAATAAAGATATTGTGTCCATCTACAACTAAAACAAAACAAAACCAAAAAACTAAGCAGAATCTTCTCCCACTGACTATGTGCACCCTCAATGCATCACTTAGTAACATGTCAAATAAAAAAATATAACCACCCCACCTCCACAAATTGAGATGGGGGTATAGCTCAATCACAGAGCACCTGCTTAGCATACATAAGGCTTTAGGTTCAATCCTCAGCACCAAAAAAATCCGACATTTTCAAAAATTTGACTTTGTGTGTTCCTAAAAGTATTTTAATAGTTTCTTCAAAGAACCAGCATTTAGACTTATCAATGATTGCTGTTATTTGGCAGCTATTTTATTGGGTTTCTTAAATTCATGGATAGAACTAATTATTATAATAAAAATGTCAATTCAAAGCAATTATATAATGAAAATCCCAGAGGATTTCTAGGAGAACTTGACACAAGAATTCTCAAATTCATATGGAGGAATAAAGGTTCACAAATAGCTAAGAAAGTTTTGAAAAAGAAGAGCTTAAAAGTCACTCTATTTGAAAGTAAGATATATTACAAAACCATAGTAGTAAAAACAATGTGGCACAGATGTAAACAAACAATCCAGTGGAACAGATCCAGAAGCAGCCTTGTGTTAAACCTGGTATAGGGCTGGGGATGTGGCTCAAGCGGTAGCGTGCTTGCCTGGCATGCGTGTGGCCCGGGTTCGATCCTCAGCACCACATACAAACAAAGATGTTGTGTCTGCCAAAAAACTAAACAATACATACTAAAATTTTCTCTCTCTCTCTCAAAAAAAAATAATAAAATAAAATTCTCTTTAAAAAAAAAAAAAACCCGGTATATAACGAAGGTGGTATTTTTTATACCACTGGAGGAAAGAAAGGATGAATTCATTAACAAGACTATTGTTAGGGTTTGGATCTTAAATGTCCCCAAAAGGCTCACATGCCAGTCTGAGGCGTTGCTGGGAGGTAGTGGAACCTTTAGGAGGTAGGGCCTAGTAATAGGAATCTAGATCCCTGGGGGCGTGCTCTAGAAAAAATACAGTAGGACCCTGGCCCTTTCCTCCTTTTGCTTCCAAACTGCCATGAGGTAAGCCGCTTTGCTCCACCATGAGCTCCCTCCCAAAGTACTGTTTCGCCACAGGCTCGAAAGCAACAGATCCAGCTAACAATGGACTAATACCTTTGAAACCATGAGCCCCAAATAAACCTTTCAGTTGTCCCATATATTTGTCATAGGAATGGGAAATTAACACAGCCACATCAAAAAACCTAATTTTTCATAAGGAGAAATATAAAGTTAAATTTCACTTGGACACCATACAAAGTCCAAATGGACCAAAGATCTAAATATGAAATGTAAACAGAAGAAAATGAGAAAAATTAGATATTATCTTAAAAAACATATAATAGATGAATTGATAATGACATATATTAAATATACTACCTAACTACCTAAGAGAAATGGAAATAATAGTGGAAGAAGGAAACACAGTAAAACAAAATAAAGGCCTTGCCAGTGGCAATGAGAAACAGAAGCCATGGACTTAAGGAGTCTGAATAGCTTAATTTTGTTCACTTAAGGTCAACAAAAACCGAAAATGATCAGAACTGAAAAATATCAAAGGAATATAGAAATACATGTAAATTAAGCTGTATTCAAAGATTTAAAGCTTTTCTAACCCTTGTCAATATTTTAATAGTGACAGAATCCTCATCTCTAAAACAATCCATGCCTCAACTTTTATCTCTTCCTTCTCTTTATCCCTTTGTGCTTGATTCTGGAAACCTACCTCAGCTCCATTTTCCTTAATACCAAAGAAAAAGTAGCTCTTCTGATTATCCCCAGTCCCAAGAATAAAATGAACTAGTGGCCTGAAAGTGGCAGCACACTTGAGCCTAAGTCAACTAGTATCAACTGGTTGGCTAAATTCAAGGGAGGTTTTCCAATTTCAACTGTACCAAAACAGATTAATTATCTTACATCCAGTTTTACTTAGTAATCATAGAATTTGTTTCCCATTATGTTACCTTTGAAATAGAGAACAACTTGCGTCAATTTTTAATATAAATGCACCTTTATTTGACTTCAAAGTATTATGGGGAGGTGGGAAATCTGAAAGTACAAAGACATACCAATTCTTTTATTCGTTTTCTGTGTCTACTATGTGGATTGTTCAAATGACTGGTAAGATCAAATATTGTTGGTATTGCATTATCTCGAAGTACTGTCCTATAAGGACTCTGAAAAAGAAAAATGTGTTAATTCAGAGATGGTCCTTCAGAAAAAATAAAATTCTATATTAAAGATTTCTCCAGTATTTCTTTAGCTCTAATACACAGACTTGCAGTATCTGATGTCAATTTAAGTTGGTCTATACTTCTGTTTTTGTATTTGCCCCTTTGGTAATCTTACTATTATAAATTAAGAATCTGAATTGATAGTAGGTAAAAAAAAGGTACTTAAATTTTGTACATATATTTCTAGTTCAGTTTCCCAGCCACTTCATCTGTTCTATCTTTCCATGAGCCCACCAGGCTATAGGATGTACAAATCTCCCAAATAACCTACCCTCCTATATGTCCTACAACAATGCTTCCCTCCTTACCTGCTGTTCACATCACTTTTGCTAATATTACTGAGAAGCACCAAGGCACAGTGAAAATAATATTGCACTGGGACCCAGGAGATCTAGGAACTAATCCAAAATCAACTAGTGACTCACTAATAGCCCCTTAGCTAAATTAGTTTCCTTTTGTGGACCTCTCTTTTGATTCAGGTACTGACTAGATCAACATTTCTCAAAATGAAACTATGCACACATTAGTGATCAGAATGCTTGCCATTTCAGTTGTACCACTATCACTTCCATACAATCTATTTAGTTAACCCTGTCTTAAGCAACCAAAACCGTAAGAATAACCTTTAACAGGCTATTTATATTATAAATACATATTATAAAATCCTAAGATAAAAATAGACTCAAGAGCAACAACTCACATACATAATCATTTTTGCAAACCCTACACTGGGTATTTTAAATTTCCTTCTAGCTCCAATGATCTTATTATTGAAGGATGATTATTCTCTATTTTACTTCCTGTTAATTAATACAACTTAGCTAGAAGATGGATCCATACCTAGATGGTGACAGTTTTCCACAGTTGGCCCCAGAACTAGGTGGGACAGGAAGTTTATTAAGAGGGTAACAGATGAATAACTTCTATTATACCCTTGGCTAGTCAAAAGAAACACTAACTTTACTTTCTCCCTTAAGTTGCTATGGAAAACACCACACACACACACACACACACTCTCTCTCTCTCTCTCTCTCTCTCTCTCTCTCCCCATTTTAAAACTTTCTTGGGAGCAGTAATTGTTTCAAAGCTGACTATTGAAGTATATTCAAATATATCAAGCAAAAATAATAACCCTTCTAAATAAGTTTTTTCATCCAGAGAACAGAGGTTAGAAAGGACTGAAGGGAAAATATGTATCTAAATGGAACAAATGATCTTGGGTTTTATCCAAAAGATACTACACTTCAGAAGGATTTCTATTCAGAGACAGTATTTTCCACTTCAATCCCATGCATCACAAAAAAACACAAAAGAAGGAAATATGATTTCTTAATGACACCCTTCTAGCACCTGGCTAGTGATCCTGAGTCTACTGGGGAGGTTGATCAGGAATCAGTTAGAGACACAACCACTGAAAGGAGCAAAACCTCGGATATCCTAAGCTTCCCATCTTTCCCATTGAGCAAAAGCCTTAAAAATAAACAAACATATACACACATACAGTCAACTCTTGATATGTTAGCAATTATTAAGTAAAGGAAGGGATAAAACAGTAAAGGAATTTTAAAAATTTGAATTAATTTGCTATTTTTTTTAGCAATTAAAGCAAAGACCAGAAAACAATGAGTCAAAAACGTGACATTTTATAAATATTTATTTATAATTATATATGATAAAAAAGTTATATGCAATTTATTTTAATTCAGTATCAAGATTTAATCTTTTTACCAGCTGATTTAAGGTTTGTGCAAACAGTATTAATCTTACTTTACTTTGGGGGGTGGCAGGGATTGAACCTAGAGGCGCTTAATCACTGAACCACATCCCTAGCCTGTCCCCCTTTTATTTTGAGATAGGGCCTTGCAAAGTTGCTGGGGCTAGCTTTGAATTTATGATCCTCCTGCCTCAGCTTCCCCAGCCACTGGGATTACAGGTGTGCACCACCATGCTCTGAATATTAATCTTAACTCTAGCATCAAAGATAATAAAACATTTGGCTTTGGCTGAATTAGTCATGAATATTTACTAATGAGTACATAAATGCCAAACTAATGAGGCAAAAACTCTTAAACATTTTAATACAGATATCAGATAATCCAGCTTTTAATACCAGCATCATCTTATACATACAGATAAAGAACATTTTTCACATTTGGGTTAATTTATTTGAGACTGACAAATCATTCAGAAATTATAAAAACAAAATCTCACCTTTTTGTTCTATGCTCTGACTAAACAAGAATACAAGAGTACACTACATTTTAAATTTCTCACATTGATATGGTTGGAATTATCCAATTAAAAAACCATATTTATGACTAAAATAAAAATGCATAGGGCATTTAAATAATCTGGGATATTTTTACTTAGTGTCAAGAACATAAAAGCAGTTTGCCTTTTAAACATATAAAACCTCTTATTTTGGTTGATCATTATTACGCTCTTAACAAAGCAAGGCAAAAAAATATCCCTCAAATATTCGTGATTAAACTGTTGAACCGGAATTGGCTCACCTCCCAATGACTTCACAAGTATCTGCTTCAATTAATTTTGAGAAATAAAATAACCCAATCATTCTTTAGTTTTCTGATGCCTCTGCAAAATGTATCTGAAAAAAATATCAAAATAAATTGCTGCATAACAATATATAGTGTACCTTCAAATAAAGTTTATCTCGATATCTGAGATGCTACATTACTTATACCTAAACAAGAACACTGTATATATTATTTACCAAAACTTTGTTCCTTACTAATTATAAAGTGTTTCACTTTTGCTTCATTTCAATCAAATCTGACCTATTTGTGCCCTTTATGCATCACAGCAGTAACAGAATCCTAGAGGGTTAAAAATCTAGGTCTGGTCTAATCTCATTAGAAACTGGGGCCCAGAAAGGGGAAGGTCTGAATGCAAAGCTTCAAATTGCTGATGGAAATGTTTTTTCCAAATTACCTGTGATTTATTTCCTACAGTATCTAGCATGTAAAAATTAATTAAGTGTTGGTTCTAAGAGTACATTCAAAAACATGAAAACAAAGAGCACTACCCATAGATGAAGATATCACTTATGAAAAAGTTCTAGAGGAATTGCTCCAAGTTAAAACATCATCTTAAACACAGTATTATGATTATCTAGAACTGACTAGAGGATTAAAAGTGGTCACCTCTGGTGAGTGGGAAAGGAGCATCAGGAATAGGGGAATTAAGAAAACCTCAGAAATTTTAGAACAAAATAGAAGCTATTCCACTCCAAATTTATCTTCATTTTTTTTTTTAATAATAATTGTGGGGTAGAGGGATACCTTTCAATTATTAAAACTTACATTTCCAATCAGACAGAAAGAGAGAGAAAGAAACCAAGTTCTCCTATTACTTACAGTTCTACAGATCATAGAGGTCTCGAAGTGTTTGGCACATAATCGATAATGTTTATTYAGTTGATCAGGTGTTTTATCTTCCAAGTCAGCTCTCCTACAATTCTCCACCCACTTCTGGCATCTATAAATAAAACCAAAATACAATCACAAAACATGAGCTAAACGTTTAAATTTCAGCATTTGGTTTTAAAGCAAATACATATTAATAACAATGAGTTCCTGCTCCCCTCCCCTAGAAAATAATTTGGAGAAGTTGATTAATAACAAAGTGAGAGTTGGAAGGGACCTTAGACATCATATAGTATGAACCCTTTGATTACAGACAAGATTAAGAAGTAATGTACTTAGTTATGTCCAAATTCAGCAGCAACATCGTTGGAGAGGACTCAACCATCAGCAGTAAAAGTGAAAAAGTTGTACAAGGCCAAAAGTCTAATATTCCTTTCAGAAATTAAGCAAATGAAACAACACCATTACTGCAGAAAATTAGCAGATAGAAGTACAATATATAACTAGAGTTTCCTGGGGAAGCATGAAGACTATATTTAATCTAAAATGATACACAAACTAAATTACAAGTTCCATGAATACAGCAACTGTGTCTACACCATCCAACACACAGAAAATATTAAGATCCTGAACAAGATAAAGTCCATGTCCTCTTAAGTGCTTAGCTAAGAGGTTATTTGCAGAATTGTAGCTCAATGATAGAACATTTGCCTAGTATGTGTGAGGCGCTGAGTTTAATTTTTAGCACTGCAAATAAATAAATGGTCCATTGGCAACTAAAAAAAAAAAATTTTTTTTTAGAAAAAGAAAACACTAACTAAAAGCACAACCAAACATTACTATATACCCAAAAGAATGACTATAGTATAAAAGGCATAATACCAAATGTTGGGGAGGTAAAACAACTTTACCCATGGACAAAAGAAAGGATAAACTGGTATGTTTATTCCATGGAATGGGACTTGCCGATGGAGTGAACAAACTGCCTGGGATCACACAAATCATGTTAAGTGGAAGAAGCCAAAAATACCTATTATGTGAACAGGCAAAACTCATCTATGGTTTTGTTCAGAAAAAGTTAACACTGATCATATGCCTAAAATTGCCTTCCCCAGAAAGGCTTGTTAAAGAGTGTCTGGGAAATTAGCTGGTAAATAGTTGTCCACACTGATATAAAATACTTCCTAACTGGTAAGGTGGCACTGTGCCTACACTGTGCAAACAATATGATTTATAATGAATAACTGCCCTCCTTCTGGGAGTCTGGAACTTTTGAATATACTAGGCAGAAATCGCTTATTGACCAGGCCCTAATAAAAACCCTGGGCACTGAGTCGCTAACGGACTACTCTAGGGAGAAACGTAGCCCATAGACTGCTGCATTTCCTGGGGGAAAATGGTCTCTGAACTCTATGGGAAGGATAAAGTATAAGGAAGCCTCAATGAACTCCTCTTAATTCTGCTGGTGTCTTTCCCACTCATGATTCAGATGTATACCCTTACTATAATGCTGTAATATATCTTAGCTGTGAGTACCACCACGTGGAGAGTCCCATGAGTCCTTCCTATGAATCTCCAAAGAGGGTGTGGTTTAGGGTTCCCCAACACAGTGAAAGTCAGTGTAGATACTACTGGAGAGAGGTAACAACTGGCAGTAGGCATAAAAGAAGCCTCTAGGATCCAAGTAATGCTCTGTATCTCAAATAAAAAAGCTTCTCCTCATTCTTCTCCCTGCCTCCAAAACCTAGCTTACCTAAATTATGTGAAAGTATACTAATCTAAAGTAGTTATTGCTAGAGCAAATGAGATAATGACTAGGAGGGCCACAGAGGAAAAGGAGTTTGGAGTGCTAGCAATACCCTATTTTTAAAAAAAATTTCATGGACATGTCATTCTGAAAGTCCAAACATGATGTAGGCTTATGATTTGTGATCTGTGCATGTTTTCACATCAATAAAGTTATAAAAATTATTTATGATCACAGTCTTTCCTACATACATGTATACATTCTTAATATATGATTTATATATTTGTGTGTACATGTAGTACACACACATATAAGTACCTCTCACATTTTTACCAACATCTCCCCTTTCCCAGTTTTGTCATTGTTTTGCTTCCTGTATTCCAGACTGTGGGCTTTTCCTTTAATAAAGTGGATTCACATATTTCTTTCCATCACTAATACCTTTTTATCTATCAATATATATCATTATAGACATTAAAACTGAGAACAATTTAAAAATGTTTATTAATTCATTAATAACCTCCTTTCATGTTAACATATGAATATTTTAATGGAAATATACTTTCAAAATAAACCACATACTTTGGATTAGACAGAGGGGAAGGAAGGGAGGGGAGAGGATGTGGGGGTTGGAAGGATATTATGATCTTATGTGCATATACAAGTACATGACTGGTGTGACTCTATATCACGTACAATGGAAGAACGAGAACTTATACTCCATTTATTTATGATGTATCAAAATGTATAACTAATTTAGAACAACAAAAAAATCCCACATTTAGTGAGAATGATATTTTCCATCTCTGCAATTCTCTTTAATATATAACTTAAAGATACATTCTCAGCTCTGCTTCTGTTTTTAATATGTCCACGAATCCAGCCTTATATTAATACGCAGTTTTTAAAAATATATTTATTTTTTTGGTGTAGATGGACACAACACAATGCCTTTATTTTTATGTGGTGCTGAGGATCGAACCTGGGTCCTGCCCATGCTAAGCAAGCCCTCTACCACTGAGCCACAATCCCAGCCCCTTAATATGCAATTTTAAAAGGCTATTAAAACCTCCTCCCTGGAGGATGTGGTGGTACAAGCCTATAATCCCAACGATCCAGAGGCTGAGGAAGCAGTAATCCCAAGTTTGAGGACAGCCTCAGCAATTTAGCAAAACCCTCAGCAATTTAGTGAGACCCTGTCTCAAAATAAAAGAACTGGGGCATGTAGCTCAGTGACAAAGTGCCCCAGCATTCAACCCCCCACTACCCTAAAATTTTTTWAAAAAAAATCTAGAAAGCGCAATACATAACATCCAAGCAATAATGCCATTTTGTGTTATATAGCCCCCAAAATTCCACTGCATATTCCTGAGAGCATGAGCATGAAAAAGAACAATAACATCAGTGTTATGAAAATAGCATTGACACTGCAGACTCCCTGAGAGTCTTGGGAACTGCTAAGGTCTGAATGTCTGTATTCTCCCCAAATTCACATGTTGAAACTTAATCTCCAGTGCAGTGCTTTTGGAAGGTGGGTAATCTGGGAGTGATTAGGTTGTGAGGGCAGAGCCCTCAAGAATGGGTTTAGAGCCCTTATAAAAGGGACCCAAAAGAACTTGTTTGCCCATTCTGTCATATTAGGATACAGCAACAAGGTACCCACCAATGATGCTGAAAGCAAGCCCCTCACCAGATAAATCTGCTGTCACTTTGACCTTAGAATTCCCAGGCTTCAAAACTGTGAGAAATGAATTTGTTGTTTATAAATTATCCAGTCTAAGGTATTTTGTTATAAAATTTGTTGATTAACAGATTACTTGGTCTAAAATACAAACCTTTGTGAGTCCCCAGAAAACCACTGTTTTTTACAATTTTACAAGACAGAGAACTCTCAATTAACTTGGTACCTCCTGCCAAGACTCTGCTTAGGCAAGCTACCCTGAGACAACCAAAATTTCGGGCAATAATTTTTTAACTTTAATTTTCAGTAATCAGTGACCTCCATGCTCCTGCCCTAAGCTAAGCTGATCATATAATTTCACTTAAAAAAAAGAAAAGCMTATCAATGGCATTTTTCTAAACCAATAAGAACTATGTAAAATTGTACATTTTGTTCATTACTGATTATGCTCTTGAGTTTTTAATTATTTCTAAATATCTGTTCCTAAAAGTGTACATGGAATTTATAAATATGATAGATGGGAAATGCACTGTTTAATAGCATTAAATATATTTTCTTAGTTGTCAGTTAACAATGTCAATTAACTTCAACAGGTAGGTTGGTAACACACCCTTTATCAACCTTCCTTACTACCCGTTTATAGGAAAAAAAAAAAAAAAAGAACTACTTCTTTGTACAGATTAACTGTGGGCACAGTGAAAAGGAAACTGAAAAGTTACTTTGAAGACATTATGTTAAATAAAATAAACCAGACATAAAAAACAAATCTTATTATTCCACCTATCTGAGGTACCCAGAACAGGCAAGTTTACAGAGACTGAAAGTGTATTAGAGGTTACCAGAGACTAGGGACAGAATAATGAGAAGTGACACTTCAAGGTTACAGAGGTATTTTTTTGGCATAATGAAAATGTTTTGGAAACGGTGGTGATTGTTGCACAACATTGTAAATATAATCAATACCACTTAACTGTACACTTAAAAATGGTTAAAATGGGGCTGGGGTATAGTTGAGTGGTAGAGCTAGCATGTGTAAGGTCTTAGGTTTGATCCTTAATACCACAAAAATAAAAATGGTCAAAATGATCAATTTTGTTATATATACTTCACCAAAAAATTTAAAATAATGTAATATACCAAAAGCCATTGAATTATACACATTAAATGAGTGAATTATATGTGAATTATATCTCAATAAAGATATTTTTAAAAAACAGTTCAGAAAAGTTTATTATTTGGTCTTGAACTATTCAAAGGGCTCTTACATGAAACAGGGAACAGACTTGCTCAGTGTCAATCTGGGGACAAAACTAAATCTCCAAAGCATAAATGACAGGAGGCAGATCTGCACTCAAAACACGGTAGAAACAATAGCTGCTGCTGTCCAGGACCTCTAGATGTCTCTCACAAAGAAACCTGGAGCATTTTAGCAAAAGCAGATACCACCTGTCAGGAATGCATATGGCTCTCCAGAGTCCATGAGTGCCTTTATGGTGAAATGCAAAACTGGATTTGTTTTGTTTTCAGGAAAGAGTCCTTATTTTAGATCCTCAAAAGGGACAATAACTCCAAAGAAGGTTAAAAGCCATGACTACTGAGGGAATTTCAGCATTCCAAGAAGACTCCACTAGACCTAAAATTCCTTCCAAATCTGAGAATATAATCCCCAATAGACCATATTTCCCTGAATATAATGAAAAGAGCACTCAATTACATATGGACAGAAATCACTAGTATCCCTTAATCTGTTGTTTCCCATTCCTCCTGTCCTTCACTCCTTGGCACCCACAAATCTGCTTTCTGTCTATGGATTAATCTATATATTTATATTTTATATAAATGGAATCATACAATATATGATCTTTTATGTCTGGCTTCTTTCACTTAGCATAATGTTTGAAGTTCTTCTATATATCAACAGTAGCAGTACTTCATTATTTTTTATGGTAGAACAATATTCCACTGTATTAGTACATATTTTGTCTGTTCATTCAAGCACTGACAGACTTGGGGTTATTTCCATCTTTTTTGAGTATTGTAAGCAGTGCTACTGTGAATGTATGGTATGTGCTTTTTTTAAAAAAAAATTTAAACACCAGTCTGCAATTCTTTTGGCAATATACCTTGGAATGGAACTGCTGGGTAGTATGGTAATTCTATGTTTAACTGTCACCTCACTATGGTTTTGATTTAAACTTCCCTAATAACTATTGGTAGGGACCATCTTTTCAAGTGCATGTTAGTCATCTGTATCTCCTCTTTGGAGAAATATCTATTCTGGTCCTTTGCCCATTTCCTCACTGGGTTATTTGTCTTTTGATTGTTGAATTTAAGAGTTTTTTTAAAAAAATATATTTGTATTCTAGACTCATCCGTTCTATTCTTCTTCTTTCATTCTTTCCGCCTTTTGGTAATGTCTCTTGATAAACAAAAGTTTGAGTCAGATGTGGTCATGTAGGCCTATGATCCAGTGACTTGGGAGATTGAGGCAGGAAGATCACAAGTTTGAGGCCAGGCTCAGCAATTTAATGAGGCCCTAAGCAACTTATCAAGACACTGTCTCAAAAAAATAAAAGGGCTGGGAATGTGGCTCAGTGGTTAAGCACCTCTGGGGTTCAATCCCCAGTATCAAAAAAAAAAAAAAAAAAAGTTTATTTTGATGATGCCCAATTCATGTATTTTTCCTTTTATTTCATGTGTTTTGGTTTCATATCTAAGAATCTGTTGCAAATTCCACAATTTCTTCTAAGAGTTCAATGGTATTAGTTTCATGTTTAGGCCATTTAAATATTAGCCATTTTGAGTTCATTTTTGCATATGATATGAAGATAGACATCTATTTTTTAATATCAAGCCTTTCAAACTTCACATGACCCAAATCAAACTTTTAATATCCCACCACCAACTCTACTGTTCCCAGTGTTTCCTGTCTCAGTAAATGCTCAGGTTAAAAATTTCAGAAGTCATTCTTGATTCTTTTTTTTTTTTTTTTAAATCTGTTTCTTATTGTCATCATCTTCAAATCTTATCTCAAATGAAACAATTTGCCATCTCCTCTTTTACTAATCTGGATTATTGCAATAGCCTTTAACTAGTCTTACCACTTTGCCTTTGCCTCTCTACAAGTTAACAAGCAGTTAGTGATCCTGTTAAAATTTCTCTGCTCTAAACCCTATCTTAGAATAAACGCCAAAGTTTTCTATGGACTACAACTTCCTATACAATTTGTTACTCTTATACACACCCTTTCTGGTTGCATCAACAAGCATGCCCTGTCTTTGCATTTATTGTTTGCTGAGTCTGGAATGTTCTTCCCCAAGATATCTTCATGGCTGGCCCCCTCACCTACTTTAGCTCTTTGCTCAATTTCCCCATTTTAACAAGGCCTTCTCTGATCACTCTACTTAAAATAACAATTATGGACTAGGGCTGTAGCTCAATGGCAGAGCACTGGCCTAACATGTGTGAGGCACTGGGTTCCATTCTTAGCACCACATAAAAATAAACAAATAAAAAAAAGGCATGCTGTCCATCTGCAACTACAAAAATAAATAAATAAAAACGTAAAATAGCAATTATGCCTTCCCTGCTACCACTAATTTCCCTCCAATCTTTGCTTCATTTTTCTCCATGGTTTTTATTACTATCTGACACACTACTGTATATATTTTACATGATTGCACCCCCCACCCCCAGAACGCAATCTCCTTGAGTAGGGACTTTTGATTTTTTTCAACTGTACCCACCAGTGCTCAAAACAATGCCATGCACACAGACCTTCAACAAATATTTGTTGAATTAATAAATAGCATGCTATAGCTATATCGTAACCGCCTGTTGATATATTCCCCCCAATGACAGCGACACTGGCTCATTCACCTCTGTATTCCCAGCACTTAACATTAGTGTTCGGCACATAGTAGGCAATGCTTTTAAATGACTGAATCAACAAGAAAGGCTTATGCAACATTCTCAATCTTTCCAACAGTCCCTACTCTAACACTTCCTAAATGTAAGTTCGGTATGTGGGTTACCTCAAAAAGGTTTCAAAATCAATTCCCACGCCCTCACGTGTATTCCCTGATAGCCCCACAATAACCAAGAGAGATTATGAGTAACGGACAAAGCCTGAACTTTATCATTGTGTAATGACAAGTCCGAAGAAAGGAAGAGTGGCCATCAGACTCGAGATCAAAGACGGGCGGCAGGGTTCCGAACATAAACGCTGTCTTGGGGTGGGGGATGGCAAGGAGAAAGAAAGGCCCAGGTGACCACAACTGGAGTCCAAGTCCCAGTTTGACAGCTCAAGAAATGAAAGTCCAAAGAGGAAGGCGACTTGCCCGAGATCACACAGCAAGTCAATCAGGGTGAGAGCCCACCTCATCCCGCCTCCGCGCCAAACCCCAGCCAGCGCACGTGCTCCGAGGTCCCCTCCACCCGCCGGCCAGCAGCGAGTCCCTTCTGTGGTCCAAGACTAGCGGACAACAGTGTGCGGTACCTCCCAGGGCCCTCGGCCCAGAGCCTGCGGCCGACAGCTGGCAGCGCGCACCGCGCAGGTGGGCCCGGCCGCCCGCTCCAGGGCGCCCTTACCTGGCCGGATCCCGCGGGAACCTGAAGAAGGCCAGGTCGGACTGCGTGCTCTTCCGCGTGCAGTTGGGGGCAGCGCAGAAGTTCGGCATCGTCGCCCGCCTGCCGGCCGGCCCAGTCCTCCCCTCCCCGCCTCCTCAGGGCAGCCACCCGCCCGTCGGGGCCGGGGAGGGGAGCCAGGCCGGCCGGCCGGCTCGGCAGGACCGGCGCGCGGGGAGGGGCGGGCGCGCGAGAAGCCGCGAGGGGCAGGAGGGGCGCGCGGTCCGAGGCCGGGCTGGGGACGCGGCTCCACAGTGCTGTGAGCGGCCGGGAGGATTTACCGCCGCCGCCGCCGCTGGTGCACCTCCCGCCCGCCCGGGACGCTGCCGCCTCCTTCCCACAATGCACCCTGGCGCCCGGGGGTGCCCTCTCTTCCCTCAGTCTTCCTCCCCCGCCCTCCTTTCCGTCGACTTCCCCGCAGCCGGGCACGCGCACGGAAGCGCGCCTTTGCCGGGGTGCGGCAAGGCGGAGGCGGGGCCTGGCGTAGGCTACCGTAGTGCGCCTGCGCACAGCCTAACCCTCGGGGAGCGAGTTGCGCATGCGGGTCATCGTCTCGGGACTCTGTAGCTGGCGGGCGCTAGGTTCCTCCGGTAGGTTTCGCGTGTGCGGGTTTCTGCAGATCTGGGGCGAGCTTGCACGTTACATCACCATTGCATCTCTCCTTGCTTGTTCAAGTTGCCACCACTTTAGACGTGTGTGGCAGAAGTCGTAGAGCCGCGGAATTGGGACGATCTTGGTTACCAATTTGTAAACTCCAGGCAGAGCTGCGTGTACGATTTGGACGCAGACGTGGATTGCAGGGGATTTGATTTTTCTTGACTTTGCAGCTCCTCTTTGGCCTCGTTAGCTTCTCAGATCAGACGTTAAGGGGCGAAAAATCAGAAAAGCAATTACTCTTTCCTGACGGGGTTTTCAGGGGAGAAAGAATAGCGACGTGATTATGCCTATAGCCCTATAGAGATTGGTCCCTCTGTCTTCCCCTTATAATTGTGGCCTGTTAACTTTCCTGTGTATACTGCCAAAATGAGTGACCGCTATTTAGAACAAAGGATTAGTATAAAATTTTGCGTGAAATTGAACAAGTCTGCAAGTGAGACCCACCATCTTTTAAAAGAAGCCTATGGGGATGAAGTCATGTCAAGGGCCCGAGTTTTTGACTGGCACAAACGATTTAAAGAAGGGCGGGAAGATGTTCGAGACGATGCACGAAGTGGTCGGCCTGTCACCCACAGGACCGATGAAAATATCCAGAAGGTCAAGGACTTGGTTTGTTCAAACAGGCAGTTAACCGTGAGGATGATGGCTGAAGAGTTAAATTTAGATAAAGAAACCGTTAGACTCATTCTGAAAGAAAACTTGAACATGAGGAAGGTTTCTGCCAAAGTCATATCAGGTATTTTGAAAGATGAGCCTAAACATGGAAAACTTGATTTGCGATCACATCTGTCAAAGGACACTAGGAAAAACAGCTCATGTGTGAAGAAGAAGTTAACAAGTTCTGAAACATGGAGTCATCTGCAGGGGGAAGCTGGTGGRGAAATGCCTCTGTCTGTGTCGGGTCCCAGAATCCATTACCCTGACAACCAACTTCTGCAGCCATCATCTTCTGCCAGCTTTCCCATCAGAGTGGCCCAGGATTGGTTCACACCCTGGTTAAAAGAATCTGAGGGTAGCTGAACCTGAGCTAGGAAGTTGCATTACTGTTGGGCAGCTTCATTTGCTGCTCCTGTTTTCGGTCTTCTCTACCGCTCCTCCTTGCTGGCATGGCCTTCCTATTTTATGCTGGACTGTGGCCATCTCCCTTGTTTTTCACCACTTTGAAGTGCTTTGGTTGTTGACTTCTGTTGCTTGCTTCTTTATATTTCTCTTGCTTAACAAGTTTGGATCTCTTCATTGCCCATACGTCAATTTGTTGTGGCTGTCCTGTTCTTTTGTTCTCAACGTTCTGCCTCAGGGGATCATCCATATCTTTGTGCACAGGGAGAAATGTCTTCTGGGAGGACCCCAAAAGGCCTACTGTTTCATTTATTTTGCAGTCAGAGCCTAAGGTATGGTACAGAAGGCAGTGGCCTGTGGACCTGTTGAACAATCTGGGTCAAAGGCCCAAATGACTGGGTAGGAACCCCTCAGAACTGGGGGGGGGGGGGTTGGCCACCAATACTGATCTTCTTTTGGACCTCCCTTTCACAGAACAACTGGATCTGTTTCATTCTAGTCTTGGGTTTTGGCCCCCCATTTATTTGGGTTTCCCCTCACTGGAAGAGGAAGATCTGATCCTAGGAAATATAAACTAGGGGACGCAGGCCAAGACTGACATGTGAGGAGAAAGACCAGATGATTCTCCAGATCCTAAATTAAGGGAGTCCGCAGTCTATTTGGTGTGTTTTGAGCACCTGCTGTTTTTAGAACACTTCTGGGCAGTGACAATGTAAAGTTCTTAAATGAGATCACCAGGTGCAGTTGGGCTTCACAAAGGAGCTCCTTCTTGAACTGGATTCATGAGGAAGGGTGAGACAAAGGGCTGTGAGATTAGGGAACACTTCCCAGGCCAGTGAAACAGCATGAGGCTGGCAACCTGAAAGTGGCCGCAGAAAGTGATGATACTTGGCTAAAATAACAAAGATTAAAGGGGAAGGTGGTGGTATTGCAGAAGATGAATAATGGGAGATAATTTGCTTTCTCTCCCCTGTCCTCAATTCTATGCCTGCTGGTAGTTTATAAATTACTTCCCCGAGTCTGTGTGTAGGTTTATGATAATGCATTTCTTTGGTTATCCGATTTTCCCATTGAACCTCAAAAAGTAGTCTCTCTGTGTCCAAACTGTCTTCTGTGTTCCTGCTGCTCTGCTAGGACTTATGGATCGGAACTTTTCCCCAGGGGCTTCCAACTATTACCACATAAACTAGCAACGTCTCAGAATGTCTGATAGGGAACAGGAGAAGCCAGGGGGTAATAGCATTTCGCAGCATTGGTTGGTGTCTATGTGTTACCCAAGGATTTTGACACAACAGCTCCTCTTTAACAAGTAAGGAACTAATCTAAAGTGGGGAATAATAGAGGTTCCACACTTATTCATTCCACACAGGTAACTTTTAGTTCTGTTCTTTCATTGTCTACCACTTTCAAAAAGTTAGAAACTCCTCTCGAATACCTGTCAGTTTGGAGAAACTTTGAAAGCTAGACCTTGTGCTACAAAGAAAAGATAATAAGAAAACTCTTAAACCTAGCAGATTTCTATGTACTTACAATTTCTAGACATTTTGTTTTAGGACCATTAAGTCTTCTTACCTCTGACAAAGTCCTGGGTTCCCCAAAGCACACTGGACTTCAGGAGCAAATCCCCACCACTCATTGTTGCAGTTTTATTGCTGAATTTATTTATCTTGCTCAGGTCCTGTTGTAATAATTGCACAATCACATGTTCCTGGGCTCAGGCTAGAATCCCACAACACCTGAAGACATTAACTCCAACCTATAATAACACAGAGGTCCTGCAAGAACTTATTTCTGGGTTTTATTGCATTCCCTGTAAGCAGGGCTGGGGTAATGATGCCACTCCCTGGTGATGATGCCGGACCAAGACCCATGCAGGAGTGTAGGATACCAGAAGCGAAGTTGGCCCAGATAGGGTTTGAACACAGAACACCTGGAAGTAAGGTAATTGGGAGTGTGAATTCAAATTTTTCCAAGTGTCTGTCATGAAATGGACAGCTTATATCCTTAGATGATGTCCTAAATAGTCATTAGTTGAACTACTGCTTGAACCCATTGTCCCTTTGCAAGGCTTCCCATAAAATATTCAGTGATGATGTCATGCTTCAGATTTTTGAGAAGTAAAATTTCTGTCTTGAAACTCATCCAGAGCAATCTAGTCTCACATAGTACTCAAATCGCTAAACCCAAGACTTCCACATGATTGCCCTGGAGTATCCACGGGAGTTCTTAGAACTCCTTATGTACCCACTTGCCAAATGTACTCCATCGCTGACCCACATTTACCCTGGCCTGCACTTGTGGGCCAGGTCTCTTGAGCTCCTGATCTTGTAATCTCAAATCCAGGCCTGCATCACACTCAAGGCTCTTGTCTTTGGCTCATGCATATACCCCTCTCAATTTATTCTTCACCAGTTTGTTTTCTGGTTCTGGACCACACCTCCAAGAGCACCTTTTGGCCACTTTGGTGTGTTGATCCTTGAATTGCTCTTTTGTTATGGTCTTTCACTTAATTTACTCTTATTTCTCTGAATTTTGGGTCCCTCTTTGAGCTCTCTGCTTTAGCCACTGTGCCATTGGAGCAGAAATTGTCTGCTCTACCCCTACCCACCTCTCAAGAAGTGGGTAGGGCAACGAGGGGAATATATGTTCTGGATTTTTTTTTTTTTTATAAGGGGCATCGGTGCCCAGGAGGATGGGAGGAGGTCCTTGCCTCTCTTAGCCACTGTTGGTTGTACTCCCCAGATGCAACTAGTTTCTCAAGGAAGCAATCTCCTTATCTCTGGCCCTGAGAATCATGAGTATTCAGAGCTATAACATCCAAATCCCATTCTCCCAGCCACTGTATTCTGCCTGGCAGGAGACGTTTCACCTAATTGCAGATCAAGCGTGGCTCTCTGTGGGACATTAGGAGAAGAGTTGGCAATCTGCAAACCTTGACCATAATTCTCAAGCTTAACACAATCAGTGAATCTTTTTGGCATTTAGGTAGATCTTCCCCTACCCACCCATATTCTCACTCCCATTTTGATTCAGAGTCCACATGGAATGTTCTGTGCCACAGCTAAAGTCCAAGAGGAATAGATTGTTCCTGGGGCAGATCATCCCATCATTAATTTTATGTAATTCTCTCACTATCCGCCCTGCTCCATTTACCCCATTAAAAATTATTTTAAAAAGAGAAAAAAATTTCACCAATCTCTGAGAAAAACACAAGTACGGTTCTATAGTCTTCTAAATTCTGCCCCTGGCTCTGAGTCCTTTTTGAAATGTTATCTTTTGGGGAGAATGTATACCTGGGACCTACTTTCCAGAGCCTTCCTTTCAGATCCATTTCTTTGTCAAAGTCCACACTTGATATGGGAGATGCCCAGATAAGTCTGGATTCTAAATGACTTAAGAACACCTACTAAAGGAGTGGATCACTATTGGGGAACTGTCTGTCACTCAGTTGCATACACGATTCACTTTGCCTGCTCTTTGCAGACATCATCACCAGCAAGCCTTGCTAGGCTCCCTGGGATTACGTCTCACCAGGATCTGTTAGAGATCCTCCCTTTGCTCCTGAACTATGTTATTCTGCATTCTTCAACTACTGCTGCAGGAATCAGCCCTCCTAGATTTTTACCAGGCTTTTACATCCTATCGGAGGCAATCCTTCTATATTTATGTTCTCTCTAGTCTCTGCCTTATCAGATCTTTACAAATACTGTGCAAGTTGTATCACCCAGTATAAATATCCAGAGACAATCTAGTGGGGAGCTTCAGTACCTCCAAGGACCCACTTGGGTCTACTGAAGAGTCAGCAGACTTCTATAAAGAAAGCATCCTAGGCTTTGTGGGCTCTATCATCTCTGTTGCAGTTACTCAACATGTTAGTACTAAAGCAGACAAAGCTAATATGAAAACAAAGGATCATGGCTATGTTCCATATGAAACTTTATAAAGGGATACTAGAATTTGAATTTCACATAGTTTTTACAAAATATAATCTTGATTTTTTTTCCCCCCAACCATCTAAACATGTAAAAAAGAAATTGTTGGGCTGGGGTTGTGGCTCAGTGGCAGAGTGCTTGCCTAGCATTTGTGAGGCACTGGGTTCGATTCTCAGACCATGTATCAATAAATTTAAAAAAAAAAAAAGGTCCATTGACAACTAGAAAAATATTTAATAAAAAAAATTGTTTAGCTTATAGACCATGGAAAGACAGGTGGTGTACCAGACTTGGCCCATGGGCCATAGTTTGCCTACCCCTGATCTAGTGTGTGTGTGTGTGTGTGTGTGTGTGTGTGTGTATGACAGGTGATAGCTTGTTTTCCATCAATAACATCGTTAAGGCCAAGTGGATCTGTCAGTGTCTGACGATTTACTATACAGAAATTGTGGAATCTTGAGACCAAGAGAATGACCTAGGACTGAATGATTGGCTATTTCACCTTGACCATATTCCAGTTCACAAAATGAATTTTGTGCTTTTTGATTAAAAATGATTTTTTGCAAACTACCACCTGTGTTATTCCCATGTAATATCTCAAAACATATTTTGGCAATATTAGAAATGGTGCCAAGTTGCAATTGGCAATAATGGAATGAACTAAAGGTAATTCTGAAAATGCTTTGACCATGGCATTTGAATATGTTATCACCTATTAAAGTGTGTACTATGGAGGTGGCAAAACACAAATTTTTTTGCAAGTTTATAAAAATAGATACTATATATGGGTGTGTATATGTATGTATATTTACGTGTATATATATATTTGTGTGTATATATGTATGTATATGTGTGTGTGTATATATATATATATATATATATATTTTAACCATGTAACTGGTGCCAGAGTATGTACTTTTAGATGAGTATACTTGTTTTTCCTCTAAAGAGATCTTTATTGTATCACCTCACTTAAGCTGATTTTCCAAAGTTGCAATAGAATCTCAAGGTTGAACAGAACTTTATAAAGATTGATCAGCCAATCATTTTTCCCTTGAACTAGGAGTAAATCAACCCTCCACAGGCTGAAAGGCTATCTGAAAGAAGATTCTGTATTAATTCACTCAATGAATGTTGAGTGGCTGAGGTACCAGGCA